CCCACACACGTCTTTGTTTCGTTGGCATGTGCTCAATCACGTTGGTGGCAGAAAAATAACGTGAGCATATGGTTGTTTAACGTTGTACTCAAACCGATGTATATAGACTGTTGCGTTCGGTCAGGGTCGGCAACCAAAATAACAATCGGAGCGATTCTTTCGAATTCCGTAAAACTACATTTTTCAAGAGCCGCAATACACATAAATACGAGACGGATGGTCCTTAATAAAGAACGTCATCAAGTGCTCCTTAATAAATGACGTCATCAAGTGGTCCTTAATAAATGACGTCATCAAGTGGTCCTTAATAAATGACGTCATCGAGTGGTCCTTAATAAATGACGTCATCAAATGGTCCTTAATAAAGAACGTCATCGAGTGGTCCTTAATAAATGACGTCATCAAGTGGTCCTTAATAAAAACGTCATCGAGTGGTCCTTAATAAATCACGTCATCGAGTGGTCCTTAATAAATCACGTCATCGAGTGGTCCTTAATAAACAACGTAATCAAGTGGTTCTTAATAAATCACGTCATCGAATGGTCCTTAATAAACAACGTCATCGAGTGGTCCTTAATAAATCACATCATCGAGTGGTCCTTAATAAATCACATCGAGTGGTCCTTAATAAACAACGTCATCGAGTGGTCCTTAATAAATCACGTCATCAAGTGCTCCTTAATAATCACGTCATCAAGTGGTCCTTAATAAACGACGTCATCAATTGGTCCTTAATAAATCACGTCATCAAGTGCTTCTTAATAATCACGTCATCGAGTGGTCCTTAATAAACGACGTCATCAATTGGTCCTTAATAAATCACGTCATCAAGTGGTCCTTAATAAAAACGTCATCAAGTGCTCTTAATAAATCACGTCATCAATTGGTCTTTAATAAATCACGTCATCAAGTGGTCCTTAATAAAAACGTCATCAAGTGGTCCTTAATAAATCACGTCATCAAGTGGTCCTTAATAAACAACGTCAAGTGCTCTTAATAAATCACGTCATCAATTGGTCTTTAATAAATAACGTCATCAAGTGGTCCTTAATAAATGACGTCATCAAGTGGTCCTTAATAAATGACGTCATCAGGTGGTCCTTAAGCCACACATGGCTCGAGCCACGGGTGGGCAACCCCTGTGTTCGGTGACCAGCTTCGGGGCTCTATAATGGCCATGTTGCAGTCATCACTGATGATGCTGCTGCTGTTGCTGAGTGCTGCATGCGTTTGATTTCAGGCTGCAGTAACTTGTCATTAATATCGAGTTGGCAGTTGTAATTAGTTTCATCTCAGCCCGGTCACCAATAACTGCACAAAAGCCCATAATGTACTATTTGGTTTCACTTAATGTGTAATTCTAGCTCTACAGATTAGATGTTGTGTTGGTTCAGGGTCACAATTAAATTTCAAGAATGAATTATTTTTCATTTTTTACTGCCTAGTTTTTGTGCCAGTTTATTTGCTTCATTAGTCGTTATGTAACAAACATAATTCACACAATTCCTGACTTTTATGTATATATTGTGAGTGTACGAATCTATAAATCAATGCATTGTTTACATACATGTTGATCGGCATGTGACAAAGACTGGAGAACACGTGGCTGGGCATTGACAGCCGCTAAAAGTGAGTCCGGGAATTAGTTGTGCGGCGTTATTTTACAGGGCCGTTCCCCAACACAAGGTGCCCTCCTCTCTAACAATTCTGGGAGATGTGTTTGTCTTAAGTTCCTGTGACAGCACAATCGTGATATAGAACATTTATTTAACATAATCTCCATGTAGACTGCACGTGTATAAAACATTGATGGTTCGTAAAATATGATGCGTGGTGAAAGGAAAGTTGTACAACTCTCCGTTGTGTTGTTTAGCGATAATATGTGTTGCTTGGAATGATGTCTTGACGTTTTGCTCCGCGTTCTGGGAACTGATTTGGAACACGTGAAGCAAAATTTGGGACGTGATGTCCAACATGTCCGATCTGAATGCACAGATGGATGTTTTATTTTCTACTTTAAAAATGCAGCTCCTGATACGAAGTATAAATCGTGACTTAACGTTTTCGTGACTGCAGGAATTCGTACCCTTTGGGTCTTTCGGTAAAGTCGCGTAGATAGAAAAATAAAAATCACGACGTTTCGATCGCAACACAAGCAGTCGCCTTCAGGTGAAACAATACAGCAGGCGGACTGCTGAGGCAGGAAAACAGCGAGAGAGCTACTGCAGCCAAAGGTTTTATAGGTTTGAGATGGGTACAACCCAAGGGTAGGTGGGCGGGGTTAGAGATGGAATTTGCAAGTAAATGTAGGATCGCAGAGCCAGATATACCCTCGGCTAGTGGGTGGCTAGAGATTAGCGTGCGATCTGCCGGGTGAAGGACAACAAACTAAACACACAAAAGGCACTTCTAAAGAATTGAGTTTTCAATCTAAAATTAAAAGCGCTCGAGTGGCTTCCTCGTATCGGAAGAGCGATCCAGACGGCCGCAGTAGCGCACCTGTGAAAGCGCGTCGATGCAATGAAGCGTTACTCTTTGGTTCTTTCGTTCAAGTCACGTCGGCATCAAATAAAATAAATCACTACGTTTCGATCGCAACACAAGCGGTCGTCCTCGGGCGGAAAAAAAATTTGCATCCAGCAGTAGAACTGCTGAACCAGCGAGAGAAGATTGTTGAGTGTGCCGGGTGGCGGCGTCCCGTGCACAAACCCCGACGCGGTGGGGACTCGCAAGGCAAGAGGTCTGCGACCGCGGCTCGGGAACCACGCACGCAACCGCCCGCCCCCTCCATCGATTTGGGGTCACGATGATTCAATTTGTCGGCTGGTTCCTTCGTTTTGCCCTCGTAGTGCACGGCGAATACACGCCTGTTGCAGGGTTTTCCGTGAATTGGTCGCGTGAAAAACGCGCTGATCAGAAATAACGCTTCCAAAAGCGCAATTCCCAATCGCGAGCGAAACGTTTGACGTTCAAGAATCGTCGCATGCCGAACGCCCACATTTGTCACGTTCGTACAGGCCCAGTGGCTTTGTGTGGCTGTGAGATGATCGAAAAGCAGTACAGCAAATAGGCTGCAGCCCCATCCGCAGATTAAGTGCCCTTTCTTCGCGCCTGTGGGTCGTCCCAGGGACGTTCTTGTTTCAATAGTACGCACAATTAGATATCCCGTAACGAATTGGCCAAGCATCCTCAATGGGGACGTTATGAGGCTCTCCTGAGTAAAGATTTAAAATGATGATAGTGTTGACATCAACAGGGACGCGGCCCCAGCCTGTAGCCCAACCCCCCCGAACTTTGGCTTGGCAGAGTGGGTGGAAGGGGGGTTTCTGAACGTGCCTTTGAGTTAATAGTTGAGCGCATTTTTTATTTTACCTGTGAGAGAGAACAATTTGCACCCGCCTAGGCAGCGTACACTTTTTCTTATTTACAAGAAGCAATAAGTTGTGACGCAATGAAAGACACGAGTGAAAACATTGCTAAACGGGTGCACGCAAGGGTGTTGCAGATTACTTTGTGAAATCTGTAAATCTGTAACTGTTGTTCTGACATAGGTTCTGCAAAATGTAATCACTCAAAACGTTTCATAACTGAATGTGTCAAAGGTATGTAGCAGTACAACAACAAAAAACAATGAGAGATTTTCTTATAAATATAAAGTGTAGCTTTATTGCCGTAATTGAATTTAACGCGTGTTTTAATTTTCAAAATTGTGTAACGTTAAAACACAGCGGGCACAGGGCGCTTCCCCATCCGTGTACCTCGTGGGCAGTCTGTCCCTCCAGGGTATGACCTGGAATGAGATGTCCCCCGCGTATTGGTGTGGTGTGAGACGTTTCCCCCCGTTCGGTAATGAGCGAGATGTTGTGTGTCCGTGGGATGGTCCTGTGTCGTGATGGGTGAGATGTCCATCCAGTAATTCGTTTGAGATGTTCTTTCCTGCGCGCGTCGGCCGAGAGGAAGCAGCAACAAGGTAACGGGTGCCGTCGACAGGTGAGTGATCCGTCTTCCTGGTGCTGCTCTGTGTGCACTGCCGTTGATCGCAACTGCCTTGAGCTTTTTCATTCCGTTTTTTTACAATGCAGTTGACCAAATAAACACAAACATTTCAGAATCGTGCCTTTTCATGTTTTCTCGTGTTCCTGGCTCTGTCTTTTTAGCACAGTTGATGTTACTCGTTATTTTCTCTCTGTGCAGCATTGGTTTGCCTCCGAGGAGAAAACGTCGGGTTTGTTTTTGTCAGGGCCCCAATCCCGGATCACTATTTAGGGCCCCATTCCTCCGATGCTTGTTGGTTTTCAGTGTGGGTCCCACCAATCGGTGCTTGCTCGTCTCATGGTTCCTGTCCCCGGTACGAGTTGCCGTCTTCACGCGGCCAAAAGCAACGAACATTTTAGAATAACATCGCGAAACGGTTCCAAAAATTGTAGAAGAAAACCGGCGATGCTATTTAAAGGAGAAATTTGCTCAACATGCGATGGAACACTGCTCGTCTCTCGTGCCGTGAGATTTTCTGCCGGAACATTCGGCGATGCGCGTCAATCTACCGGCACGCGTGCGCAAGGTTCAGCAGCGAGAACATCGTCACTGGGTGAGCGCACATCTCCCTCGGGGCTGCCCGATGCCACCAAAAGGCTCAAACCTCCGTGCATTGGGGCCGTCCATAAATTACGTCACGAGATTTTGGACGATTTTTGACCCACCCCAATCGTCACACGGCTTCACAAAAAGTCAGACCCCCCCTCAAATATGACGTCACAAAGCTCTGCACCCCCAAAAAAAATAAAACATGCTTCAAATCGCTTTAAACTATTAGTCATTGTAGTGCGTATTTAATGCGGCGCTGCACTCTGATGTTGTAGGAGAAAATATTTATTAAAAAGTCTATTTAATTAAGAAGAACCTGTTGTCTATATTTATTCAATTTGCGCATTTTGATGTGAAGTCACATTTCTCAACCCCCCCCCTCGTCACAAATGTCTGACCCCCCCCCCCCCCAGGTGCGTGACGTCATTAATGGACGGCCCCTTAGTGGTTTCCTTAAAAGCGAATGTGGATACAAAGTATGACCCCAACGATATCACCCTTACCTGCAACGCAATCTTGACGTTCTGTTTAAAAGGTAAAAAATTAAAGTGGCCGCCTTTCTGTGCGAAAGTCAGCCCCAAAGTTCAAGATCCACCGTGGCCGTGCCGCACGTGTTGAGCCAGAGTCCTCCGTGCTCAAGCGCCGGGGTGGTGCTCGCAACCGTTGGTATCCCTGAGCCAGCGATGCAAATTCCACACTCCTATAGCCAGTGTCTCCATGATAATGACTGATGATAGACTAAACTGAACCCGGCAAGGATTTGAACTGCCAGGTTGAACGCCTTCACTGCAGTGTCACCAGGTTAGACATCGACATTTCATCCATAAATTTCAGTTACTGCCAAGGTAGTTTCAAGTTTCAAGTAGTGTTTATCAGTGAACGGAAAGTCTCTCTCATCTGAACTCTGTTCAGAGGCGACTGTGGTTGTCTGCAGACTGATATGGGTATTGATCAATTCCATATACTATCAGCCCCATGGTTTTAATTGCCTACAATCAGCTGTGTTTATTAGCTTAATTTACAATAAACTATGGGTGTTATATTATTACACAATTCAGGCAGCTATGGGTGTTAATCGGGCCAACACTGGCGGCTGTGAGCAACTAAAGACAAAGATCCCCCTATAGTCTAAACAGACTACAGGAGCAAGTACTGTTAGAGAGCACTTATGAAGGTCGGCACAGTACACTAGGAGGTGGGCAGCCTGCACCATGCCTTGCCGCCTTTGTCTCCCCAGTGGTGATGTTTACACACTGCACCAGGTACTCATTTGAGGCTTAATCGACCTAGGGGAGGCCCAGGACCGCTTCATACAATTGTCACTGGTGTTGGCCGTGAGTGGGAATCGAGCCCCGAGCAACCGTGTTCACAGGCCGTCGGGAATGTTGAAGATGCAGCTCCCGCTTGCCGAGGCCGCGGGTGCTCTCCCCGCGTCGTCGCGTTCCGCCCTCCCGAGTCGCCCACTCGGCACCACGCTCCGCCGCCTCCCGGCCTCCTCCTCCGTCACCACGAGCAACGCCTGCAGTTCTAAAGGGGCATCATTGCCAGTGCGGCCACCGCCGACACCGTACCCGCCGACATCAAACCCCGTGGTCATCGTCAACGTTTCCGACCACGGGAGGAGGAGGTCTGAGTCCTCCCCGTCCCTCCCAGTACCGGCGACACCATCACATCGAGCGCCACAGCAAGACGAGGCTGGCAACGTGGCGGGAGCTGCTAACCCCACGCTGGGACCCTCGTCAGAGTCCGCACTCAACAGAGGCCTTTGGCTCCCGTGCCCCGTGGAGACGCTGCTCTGGCTGTCAGTGCTGCTCTCCAACTTCGTTGCCTCGTGTTCCACATGCGGCTGCTGCTGCTGCTGTTCCAGAGGCTGAAGCAGAGGCAAAGGTGGCGGCGGCGCCAGCGACGCCCGCGGCGCTCCACGCTGTCCGTCGGTATCCAGGCACGGCACGACGATGTCGGCCGCAATGGAGTCGGGCCGCTCGGTTCTGTCGTCGGCGTCGACCCTGGGCACCAGCGTGACGTCCCTGGGCCCTTTTTCCCCGCAGCCGCAGCCGTTGCAATTGAGGGCCCCATACTCGCCGGCCTCGTCGATGCCCGAGCTGGACGAGGCAATGCTGTCCATGCGCCGCACCAGGTTCATGCGGCGCGTGATCCTGGACGCCTGCACGCCCTGCGCGCCAACGCTGAAGAGCGGCGCCTGCGGTGGCGATGGCGCAGAGCCGCGGTTGTGGAGCAGCCGCTCCAGCAGCTGCGGCACTGGCATGCCTGGATCGGATAGCTGCTCCATCGGCTGAAACTCCATGTCGTCCTTGTGCATGCTGATTTGAGCGAGGAGGGAGAAAAGAGAGCAAGGGGACATTGTTGATTGTGTCGTTTAAAGGAGACCACGCATTCATAACGGGGGGTGGGGGTGTCAAATCTCGACGGAGGGGCGCCAAGATGGGAGGGCACACAAACGAGGTTGTAGTCTACCCAAAAACCAAAAACTCACCAAGCGTCCGTGTAAGTAATGCTTCTGGCATACACCCCCCCTCCTCCCCCATGCTCCCCCTAATGTGTTCCATAGGGGTGATGGAGAGACGACCTGCCCCGTCTTTTCACCTCGCTTTAATTGCCGAGTCGACTGATTGCACGGTTTCTCCATCGTGGATCACTGAAACCACCAGACCTCAAAGTGAAGGGTCAAGAGGCCACTGCTAACAAGACCGTTTATGCCACTGTGCAACAGCCATGGATTCCTGCGGTGGTTTATTACACTGCGTTGGCAAACACAGACTTCTGCTTCGTTTTATAACTTGCCTATGTTCAAAGTCAGTGGTGAGAGTGGTGAGGTTTTTTATTTTATTCACCCTGGTGAAACATTCGACCATTTTCTATAACTTTGTCATGATGAGACCTGGACCTAATAGACCTTGGGGCCGGTGGTCAATTTGCATGAATTATCTCGACCAATATTTCCCCTTGGTTTGCAACATAAGTGAACTAAGGGGGAAATATTCCACTTCAGGAATGTTCTGCAACGTGCCACAGGCCTAAGTAGGCCTCAGGGCCTTGATTTGGGCCTGGCGAGGGAGCGAGAGGAAATGCGAGGGGGGATGGCAGCAAGGGTCCACTGCTCTTGGCAGGACCTCATGTCGAACGCAGAGCCCAGGAAGGAAGGCTTGTGCAGAGTGGACATGGTGGCAGCGGTGTACGGAGGCCTCGGGTCGCTCGCATTCCAGTACATGTCCCTCTGCAGCAGTGGAAGGTTCTGGTACATCTCGTCCACGGCCAGCATGGACACCTGTCGCGGGGCACGCCAAAGCAAGCAACTCGTCGTAACATGCTGGGGACCTTTACATCTCGTTTCCTTGGCACTCATTGCTATGGCTAATTAATTATTTATGCACCACCATACCAGTTGTTTCCATTGTCGGCCCTAACACAGTAGAGTAGTCCTGTCCCGCCCATACTGGGCATGTGAAAAAGAGCGTCATAGCTCTTCAGATTCCTCCAGTCTAAATAAAGATTTCGATTCTGAAATTCAAATTGTGCTAACAGCGTCACGTCACGAGATGAAGACAATTCTGCTCACATCGAGCAATGAAAAATGACATCGTCCCAGGGAACAAGTCCGCAGAAGATGACATTTCAGAACTACTTTTGGATTCCCTTTAAATGGCAGCCAAAGGGGAGAACGCGCCAGAGATTGTATCCAATGTGGAGATGGGAGTGATGAGCGTGTGCGCAGAGTAGGACTGTGAACGATGGCCAGGGCCTGGGGAGTCCTTCATCCAGCAGTGAATTGATCATGGCTGATGATGTTGATCGAATTTAGTAAATATGGCAAGTAATCAAATGCTGCATTTAATTTTTGTTGGGGGAGGGGCGGAGAAAGAGAGACTAAGGTCGATGGCGACGCGTGTTTGTTCGATGATGACGATGATGATGATGAAGGATGGAACAGCCGGATTGTGCGGGAGAGACCTGGAGGTTGCGGTCGATGAGGAAGTTGGTTTCAAAGTCGTCGTCGTCCTCGCCGAAAGGGTTGATGAGCTGCTCCGCCACCTTCACTGAGCACCGACCACGCACGACGGTGAATTCACACGCAACGGAGAACACGCATTCATCAGGGCGGCCATTCTGGTAAATATGAATCATCTTTATGATCCCCATCCCCCACCTCTCCCACCAACCCCTCGCAGAGATTCTGTAAATATTCACGATTTGAGTCACCATTGCTGACACGTTTGTGTCACCTTGTCTGTTGTTGCTTCTCCTTCTTTGTCTGCTTTTGATTCCTCCACAATTGCATAAATGTAACAGCAACAACAACAACAAATTCAAAGTAATTTCTCTCTCGAAAGAACACCGAGGAAGTGCTCGGATATTTACAGCGCCGAGCTGATGGTGGAAATTCCACTTTCCCATGAACAACCGCTTTTGACTTCCCGACAGAGTTCTCGTAATGTTATCGACATTGAAGGGACGTTGAGTCGAGTCAGTGCCCCCCCCCCCCCCCAACAAGATTTGAACTTGCAACCTTCAAACCTGCTGAGAGTTGCTCACCCTACTGTGGAGCCAGCTGGCCGTTTGACGAAACATCAAAGCAATTGCTGTACGCAATTTACATGACACCCAAACCCATCATTGTGCCCAATTCAAAGCAAGTATTGTGTTGGAACTGATTCAGGTATATCGTGGTTTTACAAATAAAACATTGTTAACACGCCTCGTACATAATTACCAGTGCTGTTGTCATGATAAAAAGTATAACTGTTATCATACTCTTTGGGTTTTTCGGTAAAGTCACATAGATAGAATTTTTTTTTTAATCATGACGTTTCAATTGCAACACAAGCAATCGTCCTCAGGTGACATTTTTTTCACCTGAGGACGATTGCTTGTGTTGCGATCGAAACGTCGTGATTTTTTATTATTCTATCTAAGTGACTTTACCGAAAGACCTAAAGCGTATGAATTCCTGCAGTCACGAAAGCTTTAAGTCAAGATTTAACTGTTATCCTATTGAGATGGTCACTCACATTTTAGGAAAAATGTGGAATTTCCACCACTTTTTTTACAAGGTAAGGCCCATTGAGCTTCATAGCTATTTTTCAGAAGTGACCTGGCTACAAATGATAGCTCAACGAAGTGGCTGATGTGAAAATTTATAGCAGCCAAATACTCTAAATTCATGTTTCTAAATGTGGAGGGTGTGGAGGGTAAAATCGAAGGCCCCAGATAGAAATCCACGCAACAGCGAGGAGAACATGAAAATTACAAATATAAAGGCGTCAGGGTCAGGATCGAACCCACGACATCCTGTATACCAGGCGAAGTAGTTAAAATCTCGCCACCGTGGTTTAGTGTCATCCATGTAGAGGAGCACCGCCCTATAGCTCGACTGAGCCAGGAGACACTTTGACTCTTGACTCATTGGACAAGGACAACTCGGCAGAACAAAACGGCTCCTCAGCCGTGGGGTCGAGGGTTCAAATCCCGGGCAGCGTGCACGTTCTGAACCTTGAGCCAGCCGGCGTAGAAGAAGAACTGCAAGAGGGTGAAGACGGGGATGTAGAGGTCCATGTCGTGGCCGGGGTAGCCCTGTGCTGGGTCCAGGAACTGGCGGCCGATGAGGCAGGCGAGGAAGAAGCTGTACACTGCCACCGTGACCACCTGCAGCACCGCGCGCACCACACAGGCGAGTCAACTCGGCACCACACAGATGGTTCAATGTCCTGCCACCACACCTGCACAGGCACCTTCCACCAGCACAGGTGAAGCATCTGCGCAACACACCGGCAAAGGTGGAACCATCATAGCACGAGACACGGTGCATACACCACCCACTGCACCGGCAGGTCCACAGGAAACACCAGAGCACACCTGCGTGTAGACGAGAGGCACGCTGATCCAGTCGTAGTGAAACAGCATTCCACAGTTCCCTCGGTACACGTTCATCTCCTGCGCAACACAGACAGGGTCGCCATCGGCAATAATCATCAGTAACCATGACCACCACCGTCATCATCATCGGCACTCCCAGAGGACTCGTTCTAACAGATTGAGGGTCTCCTCTCATCTGTGCCGCGTTTAACCACCACATTTATCCGAAAAAAAGTCTTTATGTTGGAGGAATCCGATGTGGCTACAAAGCTCTTTTTCACAGGTGTTCAATCGAGGCAGGTCATAATGTTACAACAAAAAACAATACTAAAACACGATTAGAGTGCAAATTCTAGGCAAAGTTAGCAGATCACGAAACAAAATTTTTTTTTTATCTTACCAGGTAAAGCCCATTGAGCTATTAACTTATTTTTCAGAAGCGACCTGGCCACAAATGGTATCCAAATGAAGTGGCTGATCATGCAGGACACAACACTTCTCTTCCTCCTTTCTTCGCACTGCTCGACAGGGGAAATTCCCTCCGTAGTCTCTTCCCAAAATACGATAACTTTGATCGATTCAGGTCGCGCGTTAGTTCCTATCGACTGTACCTGACATTGGATTCACTCGGTCCTAGCGTCACTCTTCCCATGGTCAGCTCAAGTGGGAATAGTTGTAGATCAACAGTTGGTTATCCTATGGGTAGACGGGCCCCTGTCACAATAATGTGAAATTTCCAGCACTGGCTCAGGGCTGACATTGGTCATTAGAGCCGACCAATGCTCGTTTGAACTGTGAGACTTCTTTGACTTTGAATTGACTTTATCGTTACAAAATAAACACATTTGCAGAATACGTCTACTTTGGTCTAACGACAAACACAACCAATGTCATTTGTATATTTTAACAACACTGCCTTGATATTTACTCAACACACTCCCGTCGCCCCTTCGCCAACTACGTTGTGAGTGAACCGGCCTGTGCCACGCCCTTGTGCCCACGTAGGACCTTGAGTTGACCTCCAGGTGATATATACCGGCGAACCCCCTACGTGTGATTGTCGTGGTCCGCTGTGCGGGCGCTAGGTGGGTGAAGGGGATCAGGGGGTTAAGCCAATGGCGAAGGATGATGGGAGCTAACATCAGTGCCTGGCGGGGCAAGGTGAAGCAAGACGGGGCAAGGCAGAGCGAGTCAAGACATGGCAAAACAAGATTAAACAGGGCAGGGCAAGATATTAAAAACGGGGCACGACGGGACAGGACAAGGCAAGGCAGGACGAGGCAAGGCAGGATAGGGCAGGACAGGGCAGGGTAGGGCAGAGTAGGGAAGGGTAGGGCAGGGTAGGGCAGGGTAGGGCATGATAGGCTAAGACAGGGCAGGGTAGGGTAGGACAGGGTAGGGCAGGGCAGGGTAGGCTAAGGCAGGGTAGGGCAGGGTAGGGCATAGTAGTCTAAGGCAGGATAGGGTAGGGCAGGGCAGGGTAGAGCATTGTAGGCTAAGACAGGGCAGGGTAGGGCATAGTAGTCTAAGACAGGGTAGGGTAGGGCAGGGCAGGATAGAGCATTGTAGGCTAAGACAGGGCAGGGTAGGGCAGGGCAGGGTAGGGCATAGTAGTCTAAGACAAGGTAGGGCAGGATAGGGTAGGACAGGGCAGGGCAGGGTAGGGCAGGGTAGGGCAGGGTAGGCTAAGACAGGGCAGGGCAGGGCAGGGTAGGGCAGGGTAGGGCAGGGTAGAACAAGGCAGGTGCAGGACAGGGAGGGGAGAGCTCCTCACATCGAGCAGCAGCTTGAGCGCGACGTCATCGCGAACCCGACCCTCGGCCCGTGCCTGCGCCGCCAGGCTGGAGAGCCATACGCACGGCACCCAGTACTTGTTGTAGGAGCAGCGCAGACCGTCGAACCGCTTGCGCTCATCCCGCGTCATGAAGCCTGCACGGAGATGACACGGACGCGCCGGGCCGGCATGGTGTGACCGCAGCGCCGCGTGGTGTGACCGTTAGCGCGGTGGAGGGCGCCCGGCATGGCAGTTGAAACAATAGTGCGAGTTTCTTAACCATTTCCTGTGCCGATGACGTACGCACGTGCCGATGACGTACGTGTACATCATTAAAACGAAACCGGAAGAAAAACAAAAATGAAATAACTTTATCGGTACCGAGGCTCCCACAAGTGCATGCGGGAGGGCGTGTGGCACAGTTTGGTGCCGGCGATCATAATGTGTGGTCACATCACGACAGTTCTCTGCAGCGAGTGCAATGTCTTTAAAAAACGGCACTATGCCTCTAAACCACATTAACGCTGAGCCACTTCCGCGTTTTGAGATTCAAAGGTGAACGGGACCCACACCTTGCAACTTGCAGACGTCTCGAAATGGGAAAGGGTTCAAATCCCCCCCCCCCCACACCCCCGCTTCTGTCCACCCAGCAGTAGGAGTAGGTAAAAACACAGCTTAGTCGATATTCAGGTCGTATACGGTCGGATAAAGTTTAGGTACTCCTACATCTTTCGAGAGGAGATGAAGCGACCACCCATTCAGAGAGAAAGAGAGAGTAGTGGTGGTGGGGATGGTACCAGGGAGATATGTGGTCGTATGAAGGAGGAGAATAGGATTTGTTCAAATACTTGATGAAGGCAGAAATGCAGACAAACCAAACGAGTTCTAGACCCGGGACCAGCAGAAGACGAGAAGCAACCACCCGAGGGAAGAGAGCGGACGACCAGCCTCTCGAGGAGAGGTGGACGCGAGCGAGTCGACGCACCGGCCTCAACGACGTGGTCCATGGTGGGGAACCGCTTGTAGACGGCCGTGCTGACCGAGCGCAGGATGAGCAGCGCCGACAGGTTGGCGTAGCGCATGAGCGTGCGGCGCAGCAGGCGGCCGCGCTCGTCCACGCCGTGCACCGTGCCCGCCACGGCGCACATGAGCCGGTCCGGCGTGGGGATGCTGGTGTACTGGCTCCACCAGCGTGACACCACGAGCGCCACGTAGAAACCTGCGCCACCACCGCCAGCAGAGACGGGGAGAGGCACGGGGAGGTTACGACTCGGGTCTCTTTCTCACCCTCTCGCAACTCTTCAAGCGAGTCCAAGGCTGATTACAGCCGTCAGATGCGCGAGCAGGTTCGACAACAAGAGCATCAACAATAACAAGACGGTACCCCGATTACGCAACGCGGAATGCCGTTGCCAAATACCGCAAATTATCTCTGAAATGAGATGCGATTTAATTCAACGCAAAAATGTGACTGGCCCAGTGACTTCTGGGTCGCGCTGGCGCAACACGGGCGCAGGTGCTGTGGGTGCCGTGGGTATCCGCACGAGACGCGCGATAAATCTCGCACAAAAACCACAGTATTTACGAGCCAGTTTTCCTTCCTTCAGCTGTATGAAATTGATTCGTTTTATTTGTTTACGTATAGGCAATAAAAATAGAACCCTTGAATACTGTACATGGTAACGTACGGACAGCAGCATCAGTATTCAGCCAGTAGTCGCGTAGATTGAATGTCACTGTCGTGCGAAGAACTGAAATCGAATCAATAGCCACGAGGAGGGAGACCGCCCCCCCCCTCCCCCCCAGCTTCTAAGGTGTGGGCTGTGGCCCTGGTCTGCACCCACACAGTGAGCAGTACAAGACGATTGCTGCATGTCTCTCTTTCAAAAAGAGACACCAAGTTGCAAACTTTTAAACTATTTCAAAACTAATCTAAACCATTTTTAGTTTTACCAGGCAAGGCCCACTGAGCTGTACAGCTCTTTTTCAGAAGTGACCTCGCCCCAAAAATAACAACCCAACTAAGTCGTTTATATCGTGTGGAAATTTATAGCAGTCAAACACTCTAAATGCATGTTGATTCTAAATGTGGAGAGAAAAACCAGAAGGCCCGGAGAAAAATCCACGCGACCACGCGAAGAGTGAAAACATGCAAACTCCAAATATACAGCAGGTGTCAGGGTTGGGATCAAACCCATCACTTGCTGCATACCAGGTGAGGTAGTTAACATTTCGCCACCACGGCACACCCAGTAGAGTAAACAAGTGCAGCAAACAAAACAAGTTCACAATTACACGGCGCGACTGCCAAAAATGTCAACGATTTCTCCGCATTTGGATGCAAAGGTACGGGAGCTACGTGACTGGGGGGGGGGGGGGGGGGTAGCAAAGGGGGGGGGGTATTGGGGGTGAGGGATTGGTGTGGGGTGCGTGTGCGCACCGAGCACGAACGACACGGGGATGAGGTTGGCGTAGTTGTTGCAGTAGAGAGAGAGTTTCTCAAACAGCCGCTTCTGATCCTCGCTCAGAGCAAACCTGCACGTTCACACAACGACAACAACCGCGACATGAACCACAAACGGCAGCGGCAACAACAAACAGCTGCCACCGCTAGCACCATCTCCATTACCGTAACCATTAACCACCACAGCCACCAACCCAACAACCGCCACAAACGACCATTAACCACCATCGTTCCGATCATCACCACTACCACCCCATTAACCACCGCCAACCACCCCCACCACCATCAACCACCACCACCATGACCATGTACCCACATTGCATTCAGACTTTTTCATGTGATTCATTGTGGGTCTCTGTTCACTTTTAAGATCCCACCATTTCTGTCCAGTGCTTTCTGAGCTGCATTGGCTTCCGGTTGCTGAATGAATACATCCTAAGGTCGCACTCATTACACACGAAGTGCTTGCCACAAAGGAACCACAATACCTTGCTGATCTCGTCAAGATGTATAAACCATCACGCAAACTCCGGTCATCCTCGTAGCAGCTTTGGGGTAGCCATCGAACAAAGATGGTCACCGCATCGCGCGCTTTCAGATGCGCTTCAGTGGCCGTCTGGAACACTCTTCCTTCCAATATTAATAAGCCACTGGAGCTATGCACTCTTAAATCTAGACTGGAAACGAATTTCTTTCGGACTGCTTTTTTGTTTTTTGTGTTTAGTTTGTTGTCCTTCCCCCACACCTCCAATTAGCACGGTTGGCTACGTATGGTGCGAAAGAAGTTCAACATATATATACACATACTGCCCACAAAATGGTAACTATTTTATCGACCCGTGTTAGATGCTGTGCCGTGCCACCTCCTGACCAGAATTGTGACTCGCAACGCTCCAATTGTGGGAGCTGCATGCTCCGACCACAACCCCAAGCAGTTGATCTGAAATGTCGCGACCAGCCCAGGCCTCACCAACAATCTCTAAGTGGCGCAAGGAGTTGAGGCTGGGTAAGTAGTCACCTGTAGGTGAGGCCAAGTCACCTGTAGCTGAGGCCAAGCGACGAGTCACCTGTAGGTGATGCCGAGTCACCTGTAGGTGATGCCGAGTCACCTGTAGGTGATGCCGAGTCACCTGTAGCTGAGGCCAAGCGACGAGTCACCTGTAGGTGATGCCGAGTCACCTGTAGGTGATGCCGAGTCACCTGTAGGTGATGCCGAGTCACCTGTAGGTGATGCCGAGTCACCTGTAGGTGATGCCGAGTGACATGGATGCGAGGCCAAGTCACCTGTATGTGAGGCTGAGCGTGGCGTACATCATGAAGTAGATGAAGAACTCGCGGTACAGCAGTTTGTAGATGCTACCGCGCCACTGCAGCAGAAGCTTCGAGAAGCCACAGAGTCGCGCGTTCGCGACCCGGTTCGTGTACGTCACCGTCATCGCTGCTGGAGTGGGGCGGGGGCGAAGGGAGGGGGGGGAGGAGATGGGGACAGAGGGGATGTGGGGGATATGGGGGTGAGATGTGTCTCAGAATGGATCTGTTATGTCCCACATTTGGAGAAAAATAAATCTTTCTATCATGACACTCTCTGCCTGAGGCAGAAATATGGTGAGGAGTGCAGTTCCTGGGGTCACCAGCATGACAAAAGCAAAACACATAAAATAAAGTACAGCATTGCAGCAAATAGAAATCAGTGCAAAAACAACTGCATCATCATGGGACCTCCTTTGCCAGTATTAAATTATGATAACAGGTTTGTCCCTTTTCTGGCAATAAAACAGGCATTAAGATGTCCTTTTGGCGCCAAAAGGCGCCAAAAGGCATCCTCTGGTCTAACACTGTTTGAGACTAGGCTCTAAAGAAAGCTGTCTCTGGTGTGGACCAATCAGCTTCAAAGACAATGCATCATCTACTACCAGAGCATGTTTTTTGTTTGCATGTTCACCACAAGTATCTGTGGTTAATGCAGACATGATTCCTTGCAAAGGTTTCAGTTTGGTGTTTTAACATCTTAACACCTGTGTAATTGCCAGAAAGGGGAAAACCCTATTATCAACAACTGCATCGCATGAGAAATCGAAAATGTTGCGCAAACGTAAAGCAATGTCAAATATTAAATTCCCTGTAGCGCATTTCGCCTTGGGCAAATTATTTTTAGGCTGCTTGTAAAACAATTGCAAAATACAGCAACAGACACAATCAACTGAAAGAGGGTGAACTATTGTTCAGGTATCCCTGGATTTACAAACCCAGCGGTGGCAAGATGTTAACTACCTCGCCTGGTATGCAGAAGGTCGTTGGTTCGATCTCAACATGAGTTTGCATGTCCTCTCTCCCCGTGGTTTTTTCTCCGGGTCCTCCGTTTTTTTTCTCCACATTTAGAGTCGACATGCGTTTAGAGTATTTGGCTGCTATAAATTCCCACGTGATAAGCTGCTTTGTTGAGCTATCATTTGTGGCCTGGTCGCATCAGTGGACCTTACCTGGTAAAATAAAATGGTTTAGTTTGGTTTTATGAACGTTTGGTGTATTAAATTTCACGTTAACGCAATTGACAAATTATGGATACTTTTCGATTAACGAAACCATCGTCATACGTTGTTACGGTCTGTTCCGGATGACCACGGTCGTACACGAGAGAGATTTTAATTTTCCATTTGTGCATCATCATCGGCTATGGTTTGTGAATGATATTGATGTGCATTCACCTGTGTTAGTTGTGTCCGTGTGTGGGTAAGCGTGCATGTTAGTGTGTCAGTGTTAGTGAGGGAGAGTGTAGCCCGCATGCCCACCCACTGCATGTCCAAGCAGCTTCTGTTCAGCCGGATATATGGGGCTAAACGGGCACGGCACGGGCTAGAGAAGAGATGGACTAATGTGGAGTTGGTTGGACTTGCCGATGACTCGTATCAGCAGTGTCAAAATCGGCCTCTGTCGAGGAGTTCCGTTAAGGACGCTGCCGGGCAGTTGGAAATAGTCGCCCTACAACAACAACGGAGGGCAGTGGAGCGACGCTCTCAAGTAGTTCAGCAGATTTGCGGCTAAAATGCAGAGTTAGCACGGTGGGGAGCACAGGTGGTGCATCTGCCAGTCTTTTCAGCCGGTCAACCCATGGCACCTGGGTCTGTTCCGTGACCTGCCAGTGGGCCTTCTTCGACACTTAACGTAGCCTCAAAGTGCACCTAGCTTGGCACAAACGCCATGGTCATGTCACCGCCACTTAGTGATGAAAAGCGGTTATTGTTGTAAGTGCATGTTAGTGACTGAATGTGGGTGTTTGTATGTTCGATCGCTGCTCACAGCCAATATCAGTGGTGAATATCTGAACCAGTCCTGGGCCTCTTCTAGGTCGACTCAGCTTGAAACGAGTAGCTGCTGCAGTGTGTAAACATTAGCACTGGAGAAACAAAGGTTGGTCTGGCCACACCATCACCTCGTGCTGGCCTTCATAGGTGCTCGCTAGCAATCTTGCGTAGGTCACATGAGACCTTTGTCTTGTTCGTGACTTGGTATGTTCGTGTGTTGGCTAATTTGTATTCGTGAGTATTATAGTGTATGTTAGAAAATGTGTGTTAGTATTATTATGAGTGTATTTTTGCAACTTAGTGACTGTTAGTACGAGTGAATATTAGTGAATGTGTAAGTTAGCGAGTATGTGACTGTGTAAGAGGGAGGCAATTCATCATGGAATGTGGGTGTACGTGTTCGAAAGAGCATGCGTTTGTTCGTTATCGGCTGCGCAATGCTTGTGTGAGCCTTTTTATTGTGCTTGCTTGTGTGTGGGGAAACAAAGGCGGTCTGGCGTGCTTCTGGTTACACCACATCCTCACAGCGTGCGTGTGTGTGTGTTGTACCCTACACACTCTCAAGGCCATCCCACAAACAGGCAAATCAGTCCTTGAATAATAATGGGGAACCATTTCCTGGGCTGGGTGACGATGGCATCACCACGACAATTAAAGTTCAAAACGGGAGCTTAATTGGGATTGAAGTGGCTTTCCTGCGTTAATACTGGGTGTGAGGTCACAACACTGGCCGATAAAGCTTTTGTAACGCACGACGGCATACACGTGCACAGGTCTGTTCTCCTGTAACGGCATGTTTTCATAACGCAAATTGGATGTAACGCGACGAATGTATTCGGGAACACGTTTTCTATAACGTGGATGCGAATTGGATATATAACGCGATTGAGTGAACAGAACTACGACGTGCGACAAGGAATAAGCGGTTGTACGGCTGCCTCGGCGTAGCATCACACAAGGCGGGATGCTGTTGGATGCTTCCAGATGCTACCCACGCAGCTCGGTCTTTGTTCAGCCTTCGTAACGCTTCTCACGTGTTATCGTGGACTGTGCTTTACCCCCGATATTATAACGCGCTTTGTCCATAACGCGGTGTTCTTCAGGAACGCAACTGCCGCGTTATAGGAGAACAAACTGGACTGTATACACGAACATCCCCATTGTCAATCCACTGCTGGATGAGGGCCGATACCCACGCCGTGGGGTTATTTGACCATACTTCGCCGCGCTGGTCAGTGCAGGCGGTGCAAACTCCACCGGGGCCCATACCAACAACGTTACAGAATGAGAATACTGTTTGTATTTATACTGGAGGAATCTGATGAGCTATAAAGCTCTTTTTCACAGATGTGAACAACAAACAATAACAAAAAACACGATAGGAGTGCAAAGTATAGGAAAGGTAAGCAAATAGATTTTTTTATACGATAAAATGTAACTTTGTATTTTACCAGGTAAAGCCCACTGAGATATTCGCTTCTTTTTCAAAAGCCACCTGGCCACAAATCATATCTCAACGAAGTGGATCATTGATGTGCAGCGTTGTGGGATGCTGTTGCATAAATTACGCTATATAAAATGAAATTATTATCATGTAGAGGGATATAAGTGTGAGCATAGAAGCAACTATTAACTACGGATTTTACTTTGGCCACGTAGTTGCACAGCAGACTACATAGCACCTGGTAAACATGGTGGTTGTAAATCCAAACACTATCTAGGCTCAAAGCTGCCTTAGCCTCCAAGATCTGACGAGATCGGGCCCATTCGAGGTCCCATGGCAATACAGGGAATCATTCACAGCGAATCACTTGGTGATGATGCTGCTGCTTTGGCAGTTGTGCACACGCGCAATAAACAATACACACTCGTTAATAACATTGTGGCCTTTTAAATATCATTTATCGTAGGTGACGTTTTGGGCAATGGCCCTTCACAACACGTGATTTTGTTGTTGTTATCCAGAACAGTGTTGACATGGATCTCTGCTGCGAGACGGGAGAGGTGGCACTGCCCGGGTTGGTTCATGATGGCCGTGTCACTGTCAGAAACAGCCAGCAACCACTGAGAACCTGAGTTCCAATCCTGGTTTCAACCGCCCGCGATGAAACCGGATTTTCCAGTGTTGCGATTTGATGGTCTCAGCACAGTCACTCACGACTGCACACAAAATAAATCCGCATTTGTATAATTGTTTTATTATTACGACTGTGAACTTTGTTTTTAACCCGTGGTTACGCCACGGTAAGGGGAACAGAGTCGAGATTATAATGAACGGATATACAAGCATGAGGAACGCGAAAGGGAAGAGAGAGGATGTGAAATATGTTTTATTACATTTTTGGAAGTAAGGAGAAAGAGGATGGAAGGGCACGGAGATGTGGGTGCAAAGGGTCAGGCGAGATGACAGAGAGGAGGATGCCGGCCTCGACGCTGCTGCACAGATGAGCAGCGTCTGTTTTCACAGGGGGCAGGGGGAGATCAGTGCTGTTTAGAGTGCGAGTGGACACACAGCAGTGGGTTACGGGAAAGCTTGAGCAGATTTTATATAAAAAGATTACTCGACCCCCCCTCCCATACTCAATGGCTGAATTCATCAGGCCCAATCTCAGCACTGGAGCATCGGAGTTACAAGCTCAGAGACGAATGCACGACGTGCATGTGGGGTCAATTCCGAACCCTTAGAGCAGTCTTAAATATCTGAGCCCAGAACGACAATAACCTCGCCAACCCCCCTTCCCCGAACAAAATCCTTTCCTCGCCTCCTCTGATGAGTCCGGTATGCCTGATACAGTCGACGTCCCTGGGAATACCGTTCAGAACTTCAGGATGTTGCAATGTAGTGAATGTATGATGCGAGGGAGGATGTGGAATCAAACATATTTTATCTACACAAAAAAAAAGATTACTCGAGGTCTGAAATTTCAAAATGTTCGGTTTGACTGGCATGCGACGAACACTCTCTGCAAGGCATGCAAGAATGTGTGCTCCGAGTGAGCTTCAGGGACCAATGGAGCAAACAGCTTGAGGAGCTCTCGACATGTGTGACACACTGTGGTGCACTGCTCGCCACGAGAACTGCGAACGCGAATGGGTTCGTCTCGCGAAAGCGTGACGCCAATGGCAGCGCGCGATTGGAATCGAATTGGAGAACAAAATCAGACCCCGAGTTGTAACACGAGCATTGCGTGAGATTTATTAACAGCGGTGTGAGGCCAGACTGAGGCAATACAGTACTGTACTGTGCAGGCTAGTTTCTGAATAGTATAATATGAAGGTAGACCTAACTGGGGATGGCTTGACGACGACATGAGATTGGTGCAAGAAAGATGTTGGCACGAGACAGAGGAAAGTGGAAACAAATGACGAGATGTGCAGTGGACACCTACGAGCTGTCTACCCATGGATCGTGATGATGATGATAACATAAAGTAAATAACTATATCGTTCGTCACGCTCGTGCCATGCGTTAGGCAGGTGTCCGACGCGTCAGACTTAGAGCTCGGTGATGCCGGAACGAGTCAGTGTCTCCCTCCTTGAAGGAGCGGTGCTCATGTATGTTGAACTTATTCTCACCGTACGTTGCCAACCATGCTAATCAGAGGTGCGGAGGTGGGGGAAGAAGAATAAAATAAACACAAAAAGCAGTTCTAAAAGAAATTAGTTTTCAGTCTAGATTTTAAAGTGGATAGCTCCAGTGGCTTCCTAATATCGGAAGAGCGTTCCAGACGGCCGCAGAAAACGCATCTGAAAGCACGCGATGCAGTGGGCGTCTTTGTTCGATGGCTATCCAAAAGCCACGACGAGAATGACCGGAGTTCGCGTGATCGTTTATCCTCCTTGACAATATCATCAAGGTATTGTGGTTCATTTGTGGTAATTACTTTGTGTCGTCCTCCATTGGCCCACGGCGGAAATTCCACATTATCATGATAGGGACAATGCCATCCAGAGAACGTCCGCTGTTGACTTCCCACAATTTGGTACTCGTTTTGTCTACCCCATTGCGGATGATACTGCAATACATATTGTCTTATTACGTGTTTGCGTTTGTGATTGTGTGAACATGGGTGAATGTATGTCTGTGTATGCTGACATGCATGTCCGAGTGCCTATATATACTGAATTTGCGCGTGTGCTCTGCGCGTTCAATTCCTCGCCACGACTAAGATCAATTGTGAGTTGTGTCATATCTAAACCTACCAAGGGGGGTCCCTACACTCGGTGAGCGGTGTCGACAAGAAAAAAGAAAAGCCTTGGCGGGTTGTGAGGCCGTAGCCATGGAGTCAACATTGGGGGGGACCAAATCTTCCAGGAGGTCTGGGGTCCCCCCTCGGGAAAAAAAAAAAATCTGAATTTGAAAACGAATTTCCTGCTTAAAATATTTGAAAAATTCACTAACACATAGGATGGACTTTATTTATTTCTTTTTTACAATAATGTCTAGTAGTGTATTGTATTACATTGCTCTTTTTTTTCCTTTACTTGTGTCATTGTACGTAATGGCAGAGATTAGGGACGAATAAAGTACAACCATAACACAATCATATAAACAGAAATCTATTTATAGCAATATATCGGGGGGGAGGGGGGGGGGTCATTTTTAGCATATTTGAATCTTATATTATAATTACGGCCTCGACAAGATGACAGGGTGGGCTGAGCGTTATTTGTCTCACAACCGGCATTTGCCTCGCTGCAGCACTTGCCCCAGCAGTGATCGCGCAGGGCTCGACGGCCACGACGCTTGGTTGGGGGTCTTTGTCGTCAAGTGAGAGCGAGCCCCATCCTGATCCAACCAGCCTCGACTCGCCAACTCCGGACCGGAGCAGTGGAAGAAGCTTGCCCCGCGACTGCAGTGGATTTCGCCATCCCTGCGTTCGACTAAGAGCTTCCCGCAAATGATTGCTGCGATTAACACTGTGGGGTTTCGTTGGCTTTAGAGTGTGCGCATTAAAACAAAAAGTGATCGACGCTCAAACTTGGTGTTGACTGGTTTAAGACAATAGCATGACAATGGGGCGCGTGCGTTTGAAAGTGGAGTGCGTGTGCGTGCCGTGTGTGGTCTCGCCAAGAGCACTTAACCCAAACGGCACGTGTTGGCTACACGTGGGGATCTTTGTCTTTGTGTGTGTTGTGGGGAGCGGTAAGTGTAGTGGTTAGCGCTACGCCGCGCTAGGAACCCCAGCGAACCCAAGTTCGAGACCCGCTCACGGCCAACATCAGTGACGATTATCTGCACCGGTCCTGGGCCTCCCCTAGGTCGACTCAGCCTCAAATTAGTACCTGGTGCAATGTGTAAACATCGCCACTAGGGAGACAAAGGCGGCCGGGCGTGGTGTTGGCTACCCACCCCCTCGTGTGCCGTGCCTGCCTTTATAGGGGCTCGCTAACCGCACTTGTCCTAAAAGTAGACTCGGTCTAATACGAGGGATATTTGTTCTTGAATGTGTAATAGGGCTGAACGATTAATCGATTTCAAATCGAAATCGCAATTTGAAACAATGCGATTAGCAAATTGCAAAGGCTGCGATTTTTTGCGCGTCTTTATTTGTTTAGCTTAACAATTGTTCTATGTTTGATTGTTCTATTGCAATTAACATATTTGAATAAATACATGTACGAAGCAATTCATATATTTTATCATCCTTGCATTAGAATATATAGAGTTCATATTTTGATGGTATCATGTGGTAATGCTCCATCACATGTTTGAAATCTATTACACAGTGAATATTGAACTGAAGCTTGAATTACAAAAAAATTATCGCAAATCAAATTGCAATATCTGTCAGAAAAAAAACGCAATTAGCTATTTTCCCCAAATCATTCAGCCCTAATGTGTAATAGGTGCTCGCGAACAGTCTTAAAAGCTATGGGGGGGGGGGGTTATGTTTTTTCGTTTGTTCGAGTGTGAAACCCAGCGACCTGAATTCGATTCCCGGAACACGGCTACCATCAGTGGCGAGTTGATAACCCCAACTCAGCTCAACGTGAGCAGCGGTCGCTATGCAAGGGCCAAGCACGGGGAGACAAAGGCGGCCTGGCGTGAAGCTAATTGACCAACATCAGCCCCGTTTTGCGCGCCGCCGTGCTGCTGCCTTAAGAGGTGCTCGCTAACAGTGGTTGCCCGAACTCGCTGTGCAATCATTTTTTTCTTTTGTTAACGCTTCGCGTTGGCCCTTGCTTCTTGTGTCGGTACGAAATGAAGTTGTCATCGACGGGACATGCTGAGAATAGATTAGACTCACAAAGACAAAGATCCCCCCGTGTAGCCTTAAACTTGTTGGGGCAAGTGCTGTTAGCGAACACGCATGGGGGTTGGGTGGCCAGCACCACGCCCGACCGCCTTCGTCTCCCCCCAGTGTCGATGTTTACACACCGCACCAGTAACTCGTTTGAGGCTGAGCCGACCTAGGGGAGGGCCCTGGGACCGGTTCAAGATATTCGCCGCTGGTGTTGGTGGCCGTGAGATAAGAAATCGAACTCGGGGCAACCGCTTACACCACCGCGTCACACAAAGACAAAGATCCCCCGTATAGCCTTAGCAGACTGGAGGGACAAGTGCTGTTAGCGAGCCCCTATAAAGGCAGGCACGGCACACGAGGGGGTGGGTAGCCAACACCACGCCCGGCCGCCTTTGTCTCCCTAGTGGCGACGTTTACACACCGCACCAGGTACTCATTTGAGGCTGAGTCGACCTAGGGGAGGCCCAGGACCGGTTCAGATAATCGTCACTGATGTTGGCCGTAAGCGGGAATCGAACCCGGGTCTCCAGGTTCGTAGCGCAGCGTAGCGCTAACCACTACACCACCGCTCCCCACGCACACACCACTAACACGCTCTCAAACTCCACACAAACTCCAAACTAAAAACTCCCCCACATAACCTTCACAGCCTGTTGTTGGCGGTAAGTAGTCAGCGAGCACCTATTTAGACAGCCGGTACGGTACACGAGAAGGTGGTGGATCAGGACCGCACCAACCACCCAGCCCGACCACCTTTGTCTCCCCACGTGCACGTACAGTCTAACACGACACCACATCCCGGCACTTTCAAACTCCCCACGAAGACGGAGAAGCTCCCAATTATGGAACTTTGGTGGGGGTTCTTTTTTTCGAAACCGATACCAATCTGTAGTTACATTACAGAACTGTGTACCCCCACGTAGGCTTCCACCACGGGTCAAAAGACAACAAATCTCTCAACGTCCCCCCACCCCTGTCTCTCTCATGACTCAGAAGCACGCGAAATCCGCGGTCACCACATGGAAGCTGTGATGATGATGATGATCGCGGGAGCGGCTCACCTGTCCGTTGTCTTTGTCTCTCCTTCGGGTACGAGGAAACATCCGCACGTGTGTTGTGGCTCCTTGCCCTGTGTGTGTGTGTGGTTGAGACTGGATGGAGCGAGGCTGGTGAGATCAGGTATACTCAGGGGAGCACGTGGATCTTACTCCGGGGTAGGCTGGGGGATGGTGCGATTAGTGATGCGACGTAATATTGGGTAAACGCACAGACATTTCGATAAACACGAGACAAAAGTGGCTTAGCGCCACGCCCGACCCGCACCTCGGTACTGATTTAAGGCCGAGTCGATCTAGGGGAGGAGCGGTGCAGATAATCGTTACCGGTTGTTGGCCGTGAGCGGGAATTTAAACTCGGGTAGCTGAGTACGTGGGCACGTAACGCAACGCGCCACCCACTCAGACATCCACTCAGACATCCACTCACCCACTACTAAATATGCATACACAGACACACGTACAATTATACTCCTACACACATACAGATGTATATACACATGGAGACGCATACAGCTACAGTACACGCACAGACGATTACAAATTCCCACACACGAGAGAGAGAGAGAGCAATGCTCGCAATACGCCCTGCTAAAAAACCTGCTGGCTCACAAACACATTGGATTTGGTAGACAAAGACAAACACACACACGCGCATGATCCCACAGACCGCCAGACAGACACTCTCATATAGCGTATACTCTCACACACACACAAAGATCCCCGGTATAACCTTAACAGACTGTCGGAGCAAGTGCTGTTTAGCGAACACCTATGAAGGTCGGCACGGCACACGAGGGGGTGGGTGGCCAGCACCCACGCCCGACCGCCTTTGTCTCCCTAGTGGCGATGTTTACACACCGCACTCGGTACTCATTTGAGGCTGAGTCGACCTAGGGGAGGCCCAGGACCGGTTCAGATAATCATCACTGGTGTTGGGAATCGAACTCGGGTGGCCGGTTCCGTGGCGCAGCGCGCGAACAACTACACTACGGCTTCCCAACAATACATACACTTACACATACTGTCACATACAATCTAACACACATGCATACCGACACATAGACTCGCATACACGCACACGCACCTCTGGAGAGACAAAGCGAAAAACAAGACCGGCGAGTGATCCAGCCAAGCCAGACTGCGGCTGTTATTTCAATGCAACCACTCAACCATCCACTCAAACCCACCCATTTACCAACTAATTCACCCACCCACTCACCCACCTATTCACAGAAACATCCACACCCCCCTACCTTTAATACACAAACACAATCTCTATTCATCCACGAATTCAAGCACAATTGACAACAACTCAACAAGTTCGCCTTAAAAGGGAAGTTATATAGTCGACAACGTTTCGGGCAATTGCCCTTTTGTGTTGAGTTTTTATTTTATTTTCGCGAATTCACCACTGCCAACGCAGGGTACCCGATAATGAAGTCACCCACCAACTCCCCCACTAATTCATTCACGCAACATTTAATTCGCCTATCCACCCACTCACGCACCCATCATACTCCGTACGCCGTCCACACAGCTCCATTGTTGGGATTCGTGTGATTTGTGGTGGGGCGTAGGTTGATTTACATGATTGTATAATCCACAAAAGTTTGGGTGTGTGCTGTAGTCGAGTCGTGTCATGTGATGGCAGTACTGTATAGTAATGTATCGGACAGTGTCGCAGCTTGATGTTATTTTAAACGATCATGGCTTGACTAAGTTTTATTTATTTTTTTGGTTTGGTATTCGAGGAAGCCGCAAAGTCAGGAGAAACCCCCACACCAAGTGAGATAGACACCTGGCGTTCTGGTACAGATACGCCACCTCTAGATTGCAGGACAGAGAAAGTGGGATGTTGATTTTTATGCGTGGATTTTAAGTAGTGACCCCTCTTTTTGTGTGGGGTTTCTGCAAGACACCGGTTTCCTCAAGAATGTCGAGACAAAGGATACTCGACAAGGAATTGCCCAAACATTTCAATGGACCCTCGTTAAACAGTCTTCAGATTAAGCGAGGCTTTTCTTGATAAATAATTAACCTTTTATCTTAGTTCGTCATTTATCCCCAAGTTTATCCCCATTGTCTAATTTCAAGGGAGGAAGTGCCCATTTAATTATCGCACAGAGCAATGGATCCTTTTGTGTTAGAAAATGGACCATGGAAGCGAATATCACAGAGGTACATTTGAGGATCCCACATTTGTATTTGTTGTGTAAGGCTGTGCCCCACTCGGCACGCGGTCTTGAGCTATTGGTGGAAATTGCACATTCCCATGACGGAGCCAAGTCCGTCCAAGTCCGTAGAAAGTCAACGACCACTTTTACCGTTTCACCCAACGTTTGCGGCTTCTGCGCGTGTTCACCTTGCCCTCCCCGTGAAACGGAGCTGTTCTCGTATCTGATTGGAAATCTGAAGAGAGAAGTTGGAATTGAAATAAGTGAGGAGCTATGGAGCGTGGCAGTGTAGGGCGTGGCATGGGGTGACGAGTTCATAGTTGGGTAAACAACAACAACAACCACCATCGTCATAATCAGCCGTGATCGATCCACTGCTGTACGAAGGTCTCCACGTGGCACCGCCACCGTTCATGGTCTTGTGGTGCAACAATTCATCAAGCTCCTGCAGCTTAGTCGATTGAAAACGTAAACAATAAAAAAAGCCTAAATCATGTGAGATAACCTCCTGTAGGTCACCTCAGCCTGAAATTAGTTCCCGGTGAATGGGTCCTCCTGTAGTTCACTTAAGATTGAAATAATTATCGTAAGGCCCTTTGGCTATTGCTTTGTTTAATGTTTACCACTCACATTCATGTCGAACGAGGGCAATGTAATGAGTAACGAGTATCGCGAGCGAGCACCGATTACAGAACACATACCAATTGTAGCAACTCTTTTGCACTACAGTATCTGTATGTTAGTTAAACTTGGTGAATGGGTCTCCAGGACGTCAACGCAGACTAAAATGTGTACCTGAAGGTGAGCTCTGCCTTGAATGTGTATCTGGTTCATGGGGCTCTCGTAGGCCAGCTCACACGAATTTTTTTTTTATATAAATGACCTGTCGGTCCACTGAGGCAAACATTAGTACAGTACTCGGTGACCAGACGTCTTTCAGGCAATGTTTGGGAAAATACCATGAAAATTTGACAAAATAAACCTCAATGGGTCGTGACCTGGTGACATTCGGGACAATGTAATGATTTGTATGTGAAGTTGGTGGATCATGCACAGATCTTCAGACACCAAACTTGCATGGTTAATAATATAATTAGGGCCCGTGAATGGTAGGATTTTTTTAATATGTTACATGCTGTCTGTACAGATTTCATGAGTGTCCATGCCTCATATCCATGGAGTTTCTCTTAGCGCCCCACTTTCTTCCCACAACTCATTAATTGCTTAATAAGGAAATTGCCAAAGTCATTCCAATGCTAAGACCCTCCTGCAAATGTCCTTGAGTCTCGGTGAGGCTTTCCGACCCTCATTGTTATCCCTGTTTTAGGCAGTGGGTAGCGACACACCTCTCCATTCATATGAACTAAGATGATATAAATCTAATACATAAAATGCTTTTATTACTATGTAACCCTTTCCAATACGCGTTTGTCCTTGGGAGTATTTAATTCGCAGCACATAAGTCGATGGGCAGCTGATAGGGCAAAATCCACTTGCATATTTGGCATGAGCAGGCCACAAAAAAAACTCGGCACATTCATCAATAACACTCCTTTAAATGAAAAGATATATACTATGCGACGTTTCAGGCAATGAATATTTTGTGCTAAAGTTCAAATGAAAACAGATACTTGTAGGAGTTGACAACCGAGAGCAGTGGTTTTCATCCAGGGGTACATGAGTTGATTTATAAATGTGTGAAATTATACTATTACGCCATGTAGGAATGTTGAACTTCTTTCGCACCGCACGTAGCCAACTGTGCTAATAGTTGTTTTTTAAATATATTCGCTTGCAGTTACTAGCTTGGTAGGATACCTCACAAAATGGACAATTGGTAAAAATATCGATGTTCATTGTGAATACATTTATTTCTCAGAACCATGTTGCGTCAGACAAGGGGGTTACTCGGTTGAAACTAAATTCAACAAAGGGTTCAAGTAGCCAAAAAATGTTGAGAACTACCGTCCTAGAGAGTAGGATTTCTACCTTTTTCACAGACCAAACTCTAACATGTTTCTTAGTCAGAATTAGGGTTATCACATTTATACAGTACTATGCTCTAGTCAAATTTAACAGAATGCCTTGTTATAGATCTTGGTATAGATCAATCTCTGCCACAAACAAAAAAACATGTCAATTCCTGGATCCTGGATTGTCTGAGCCGGTGGCAAGCCGAATGGTAGAGCCACTATTTAGTGTTTAGAGAAATTGTGTCACGGTTGGACATGGTGAAGAATTTTATGATGACAAAAAGATAAAGATTTAATTTAAACTGCATTAATATTTTTCGAAGGGATAAAATATTATCAAAATCTATTGGCAGTTTTGTTTTGGACTTCATCCACAGGGAAGGCAGGTATGTATAACATCACATCGTCAGCAGAGAAGGGGATTTGCAAGTGGGTTAACGTTGAGCCGACATTGATCCTGTCGATAGAGAACAGCAGCATGCTGACACCAAACCTTGTGCGAGTGCTTTTGAGATGAGGGAGAGGTCTCATAAATATTTCAGATAGATAGCTTGCCACTAACTCGATTAAGTTGTGATTAACATATGGTTAATTTGTGTTATTTCTTGAGGCTATGATATCCATATTAAGGCATATTGGAGATTCTTCGGATTGTGTGTTAATACCCCAGGCTCGTAGAGCCAGACCAATACACATTTAGGAATGTTAGGGTTCAATGATAATTCTCAAGGCTCATAAGAACTAGACCAGGGGTCAGCCACCTTTAGCTCTTTAAGGATTGCTTAGTGACGTTATTTATTAAGGACCGTCTCGTATTCACATGCATTGCGGCTCTTGAAATAGAGTTTTGGAATGGCTGTGGCTAGTAGTGTGGTTAGTGGTTGAGGTGGTTGTGTGGTTAGTGAATGATCTCGGAGGTGGATTTTCCCACACACCGTGCAATGAGATTGTTCGATGACCGGCAAACCAAGATGTATATTTGCATATACTGTATAATTCTCAGAGCCAATATTTATTGACGTCAAGTGAAAATCCCAATGTCACGTCGCTTTGTGTTCGGATTGGAACCCAGACTTTCAGCGCTGCTGGCTCAATGTCTCTGGCCAGTGGGCCAACAAGAGCAGCAGCAGTGGGGCTCTGTGCAGGTTGACAGCGTTGATTCAAGCCCGACTCCCGATGAGACACTGACTGTCAAAACCGGTAACAATGCTGCTGAAATTATTCACCCCTGGAATGCCATGCGGTTGATAGGTTGTGTAATAAATACATATATTTTATTTTGTAAGGGGAACGACGGATGTATCAAAGAGACAACTGCTTATTTATTTTGTTAATTATGTATTCTCTATATCGACGTTAATGCTTATTTTGTGGTTTTGTCCAGGGGTCTCTCTGATGCAGTGCCCTTGTGACAGACCCAACGCAGAAGATCTCAGATTTTGATCTTCCACGAAGCTCATGGTCCACCCTAAACCGCATCCGAACCATGTAAGTAGATGCGGATACCTGATGCACAAATGGAAAGTTTAAATCTCTCCAGTGTGCGACTGTGGTAATCCAGAACAAACTATACAACGTCGAACGACACAATGCCCGCTCCGCAAATACAACGGAGACATCACAGCGATACACTCAGCTACTCCTGTGATGCAGTGTTTCGGCTTCACCACCTGAATGTGAAATTGTAGTTGTTGCCCTACATCAGTGGTTCTTCACCTGGGGTGCAAGCACTCCAGGTTACCCTTTATGGGGGTGCGAGACACAGCCAGATCTTTTTTAGATGGTAAATAATCGAAAACACAAATTAAGCACTGGCACGTAAGTACAACTACTTTGTTTCATCAAACCCTCTATGTATGTATTAACATTATACATTTGTTTAACGATAGAGAACCAACGGGATGCAAGGTTACACAGTTCAAGGTTTAGGCACCTTAAATGTTTAAGAACCTCTGGGCTAAATCTACATCAGCAGCCGTACGGAAGAAGACCATGAGAGGGCGCGCAAGGCACTTGCGGGATTCGTGAACTCCTGGGGCCTCCCGCCCACACAGCCCCGCCCCTCAGTTGCCCTGCAGACCCCGCCCCCTTGACCCCGCCCCTCTTGACCCCGCCTCTCTTGACCCCACCTCTCTTGACCCCACCCCTCTTGACCCCGCCCCTCTTGACCCCACCCTTCCTCGGCCCCTTCTCCTCACAGCCCCCCCCCCCGGCTCTTGACACCGCCCCCTCACCCCCCTCCACCTTCCCCCTCTCTCCTTCTAGACCCCGCCCAAGAGCCCCCCCCACCCCCGCCGCCAGCGCCCCTCACCCCCCACCCCCCACCTTAATAAGCCCCGCCCCTCTATTTATCTTATCCCCCCCCCATCCGATTTCCCCCCCTCCCCAGCCTGCCCCCTCCACCCCCCACCTCTCGCTCGCAGTCTCTCCCGCCCCGCTGAATCACCGCTCCAAGCCCCGCCCCTTGGCTTCCTCTAAACCCCGCCCCTCGCTTCCCCCCTAGCCCCGCCCCTCGCTTCCCCCTAGCCCCGCCCCTCGCCTCCCCCCAGCCCCGCCCCTCACGTCCCCCCTAACCCCGCGCCTCACGCCCCCCCTAGCCCCGCCCCTCGCTTCCCCCCTAGCCCCGCCCCTCGCTTCCCCCCGAGCCCCGCCCCTCGCCGTGGTCTCCCCCGCGACGGAGTCGTGCTCGGTTGGGCTCGTAGCGGGGAGAGAGATCCCAGAGGTCCCCGAGATTCTTGCAAGGGACTCGTCGCAACACGGAGAGGTCAACTACAACAACGTCCAGAGAAGCGGCAGAGACACGGCGGTGGAGAGAGACCCCCACCCCACGGCGACTCGTGGAGACTCGGAGAAACTAACGGAGACGCGGGGAGAGCGGGGCGAGGGAGCGCGGGCCTGGTTGCTCCGCGCGGAGCCTGACGTCTTGCCTGAGCGGCCGGCCCGGCAGGGACACGCAGAGGCCCCCTTGTGCGCGGGGGCGGAGACTGCGGGGGAGGAGGTTAAAAGGAAAGGGGGTGAAGGGAGAGGTGGAGTAAGGAGGTGAATACGGGGGGAGGAGTAAGCCTCTTGAGGAGAGCGAGGCGGAGGAGGAGGAAAGAGGAAGTGCGAAAGACGAGAAAGAAGAAAGGTGAGAGAGCAGAAAGACAATAGATAGCGGCAGCCGTGAGAAGGACGAGGTGAAAGCGGAGGAAACGGAAAAAAAGGAGTGAGGAGGTGAAGGAGGATTTAGGAGGCGTAGGGAAAGAGCAGGAGGAGCAGGAGGAGGAGGAGGAAGAAGAGGAGTGACCATGGCGGCTAAGGACGGGGCGACGCAAGACAAACACAAGATCGTGGTGGTCGGCGGTGGCGGCGTGGGCAAGAGCGCGCTCACCATCCAGTTCATACAGGTGAGGGGCATGGCCAGGTACCCTCACGCCGAATGCGTGAGTCTCATCCTCGAGTCTCATCCTCCACGACGACATCCCGTCTCTTCATTCTCCCCGTCACCCTGTAACATGCTGCTGTATACTCCTCGGCTCTCACGCCGCCGCTCGTCAATATCACGAAAACTCGCTAGGACCTCTCACGAATTAGCCGCCTTGTGTGTGGTTTTTTTTTACGTTTTAAGAGTTTTTAGTCGGTCGTGGTGCATGGGGGAGGGGGGTAGCCGAGGCGTGGTTGAGTGCGGTGGTCAGGTTTTGTTCAGTGTGGCTGGGTGCACCTAGCCTGGCACGGGGCGTCGCGTTGACATGACCGCTATGTGCAGTAGTAGTAGCGGGTCTGGCGGAGAGTGTGCTTGTGTTGTGGTTGCGTGACGGATACCGAAGATTGTTTTGGTAGTAGAGGTGGTTGTATGATGTATATACATTCCTATGCTGTGTGTTCTGTGCTGTCCACACTTGAAGTTTTGTTTAGGATTAAAAAAACATAGTCACGTTCAGGAAGCCGTTATTCAACTTTTACGTTTACAATTACATCACTGCTATGCAGTTTAATACCACACTGCATCGAGGTTACTCAAGCGCCTGATTTTTTTTGTTTTACGAAAGACAAGCCCACAGCACGCAACCTCGGCTCTCGTCCACAAGATCGCAGCTGTTTGTTTTGAGTGGCGTCTTTAAGGCATGGAGAGTTAGCGGATTTGGAGGAAAGCGGATACCAGGGAAATCGAGAGCCGGGGAGACACGTCTTCCTCGGCATCTGGGAGCTATACAGCCCTTCCTCCTCTTGCCCTTTCCAACCATCGCTTTTAAATCCACACACCTCTCTCTTGATGTTTTGCTACTGTGGTCAGAGGTCGACATTCACAAAGTTGCGAGTTCAAAAGGCGGGCGGTGAGGGGAGGGGGGTCTCTTTCTCGTCATCATCATCATCACCTATCCAGGGTTGCAACTACTTTGTAAGAGGTCAACAGTGTTCTTATCTATGGACAGACCTGCCCTTGCCATGTGAATGTGGAATTTCCTCATTCAGCGTAGGGTTGCAATTAGTGAACATCGCTCAAGCGAGGAGACATTTTAATTGTTGAATCAATAAAAAAAATGTGTTATGTTGTAATGGTTATGCGGTGGGTGGGGGGTCCGTGCCTTGCATTGCACTTCGAATCTAACCTGAGTTTGATTCCTGGCCAGTAACATCAGTGGCGAGTAGCATCCGAACGAATCGTGGTCCCCCCTTCATCAATCCCCACTGACCTGGTATCTATCTTTTCATGTCTACCATGCAGCCCATGCAGATTATACACACGTAAAAATGCACAAAAACCTAACACTTTTTGAATAAAAATATTACCGAATCTCGACGAATCAAATAGCGAGATGTGCAAGGTCGTTACGAGCCGAGTGTGCATCACGACTCAATGCTAAGCTTTGACCCGTTTCCGACGCAGCAGATACTTTTAAAATAAAAGGACGTTGCTCTTTGCGTTGCACCTGAAGCTGAACGCTTCACCATACCCCAAATTCCTTGCTCTAATCTCAGCCCAGAACCATAACACTCGAGTCAATGCTTGTTGCCGATTCACGAACCCTGACCTACATCTCTAATTTCAGTCTTACCTTGTTCAATGTTCATTTTTTTAATTAAATTAAATCTATAATGCATATAACTGATTTCATTCCTCCATTGCCTCGTTTTAAGTCCTCTTGGATGCTTTGCCTTGGCTGCCAGGATTGGAAAATGCTGGCTGCTTGGGGTGGCTTTCATCCAGCAGTGGATTGACCACGGCTGCTGATGATTGATTCTATGGTGTCTTACTTTTTTCCCTTTCCTTTTTCCCACTAACCTGGGGGTCTGGATTATTTGTATTCTCTCTCCACTCAATCTTTTTCTGAGCCATCACCTCTATTCCACAGTTCTTCATATCCTGGCTCGTCACAACCACTTATTTCTCGAGGTGTGAGTCTCGGTCTGTTCCTTGCGGCTTTCGTGTTCAACACTCTATACCGTGTAACTTGTGAAAAACAACAGTAGTAATAGGAACAGGATTAATACAGTAACCTTTATTTTGTCAAGTGAAAGCCTGTATCGACAATGTCACTTGCGAAGGAGACTTTGAATACATTGGAAGGGCAATCGGGGATGAAGAACAAGTGTTATATTTTAAAACGAGATATGCAAATGTTGCGGGAATTCTACTTTCCCATGGCCCAATCCAGTCTCTTCATTAGGATGACCAGTGTTTTGGTCCAAACCAAAGAGTATCACGTTGTCGACCCCAGAAGGACGAGAATAGAGTGGGTTTCTCCCATGCCCACTGACCCAGGATTTGAATTCACAACCTTCTGACTGCAGAGTCGAGCGCTCCAAAACACACGCCAAACGGGGGGGGAGGGGGGGGCTTTACACGGGAGACCTGTAAACTCATGGACGCTCAGTTCGGCCGTACCTTTTACACTCCGCTCTGTTTGTTAACGTGACTCATTCACAGCAGGAGAGGCTTGAAACAGACACGTCTCCTGGGAGCTGTGATCCGAGATGTTACCAATGCCTATTAACCTCCATTAACCCAGATTATACGCAAAAGGACGTTCCTATTGATTTTGAGATTTACCGAGTCAACGCCCTGCTATGTGCGAGCTGCTTCAGTGGGTCCCTTTCTTCTGTCTTGACGCGCTGGGCGATCATCGTTATTACCGGAGTAGATTCTTTACCAACCGTACAAGTGCGTCGTACATTTGCTGAGCTTCTGACGTTGACAGTGGTGTGCGCGCACACACGTACAAATGACTCGCCACCTCTGTCATTACTAATTAATGTGGAATGATTCCTGCCGCCCACCAACAATGAGAATTGTAAAGATTCGCGGTTCCGGTTTGATGCAAGCGTCTCTTTGTCTTGCTTGGGACTGCCTCTTTCATTTGTGCCATCTCGTTTGTTCTTTTAACCTAAATATAACTTAACGAAGTACATTTGCAGATGTTATGATTGATCATATGTTGTCCAGATGCTTCATTGCATGTATCACGAGATTAAGATTGTATAATAATGAAATTGTAACATGTCTGCTTAACAGCAACATTGAAAGTATATGTTACGTTTATAAAATCGATTCCTCTGCAGAATCAATCTTTTTTTAATCAATGTTTTTTTTGTGATATGAAAAAATATCTCAAATCATGACAGTTAATCATGGTAATTCATAGAATCATAGATGAAATGTATTTACAAATCTATTACATATTTGTAGGCTGATATTCTGGAAATGGCTATTCTTCGGACCAAAGTGAGAGCTCAAAGATTGAGTAATAATAATGTAGTTCCCTCTCAAATAGATTGACTGAATTATAATTGGAGATGACACTTTATGGATTGTGTTGATTCACTCAGGTATACAAACTATACATTATTACAGATGCATACTTATTGAATGGGTACGTAATAAACAGTTTTTACGGCAACTGTCTACAAATTACTCAGGTCTACGGCACCGCATCTCCTTCTATAAGTCGGTTCATGTTTCTGCCCCTCTCAATCTGCTCTCAAGAAGGTGGTGTGGCTCCAGACGTCAGCCTACCACTGTGCATATATTTAAAGTCCTTTCCACCAGTCCACTGCTGGATGATGCTTTATCTGTCGTGGAGGTTTTTGATCATTTCACCGTGCTGATCATTGTGGATTGGTGAAAGGAAGAAGACTCAGAACCAGATTTCAGATATCACTATCCGTTTGTGTTAGCCGTGACCAAGAAATAGAACTGAGATAATTTAGTTCATGGTGCTGTGCACTAACCAACAGAGGTGGGACAAAGTCATTGTTATGCAAGTCCAAGTCGAGTCTGAAGTCATCAAATTCATGACTCGAGTCTGACTCGAGTCCAAGTCACATGACTCGAGTCCACACCTCTGCTAACCAATGCTCCACCCATTGCTCCACCCAGGTCAATTCACTGAATCTACGGTCCAACGTATTCGATCATTACAAGCCTCGTTATACGGTAGCGTTAGTCACGGGAGGCGGTGCCGTGTGATTAACAACTCCACCGCTTCGGACGCTGTCGTTTGGCGCTCGACCTCTGTGTCGGAGCTGGCGCTGGCCGGCACTGGGGTGTGAGGTCCCATGGGACGCGCAGCGAGATGATGCACGCGATGCTGGCCGCGCCGCTGTCGATCGGAGGGGGCGGCCGAACGGACACGTGCACTGCGGCATGCGTGAATTTATCCCCGCAGGCCTCCGCATACCTCTGCTTTTTATTGTTATTATAACTTGTGCTTTATTTCTCTCTTCTCTATCCCAAGTACATTCCAGTTGTGTTGTTGGTGTCATGTTGCCATGAGACAGTAGAGAATGATGCCCAGATGATGCTTCTCCATTATCTCTCATTAAAACCGTGGCATTAAAACGCTCTGCGAAATGGAATTGGTCAAACATCCCAAGGTAAGAACCTCAATCGTTATTTTACGTGCCAATATCGCCCTCAATAAAGAAGGCATCAGTGCATATTACAGCATAACGGGAACGGTAGAGGGGCATAGAGCAACAGGAATTAAAAAAAACCTGTTATGCCCTCAACAGCTAACACCGACTGATTCGTTGTTATATTTAATATAACAAATATAACTGCCCTCTTGACACGACGAATAACGTGTTAGAACACTGAGCTGGCACAGCTGAGGACCTGGGTTCAAATCCACGTTTCAGCAACCCATGATTTAACAGGATTCTCAAGTGTAGAGCGTTGATGGTCTGAACCCATTCAGCAATAACTGCACAAAACACTTAATTACATTCAGTGTTTTGCTTAATTTGGGAACTGGGAATGTTATTGCAAGGGCATGTAATGATTCCCCCCCCTTCCCCCCCGCTTCAGTGAATTGTCACGATTAAATATTTCTGGTTTTATTAACATGAAACAAACATTCTTTGGAGGATGTAAAAAAGTCTTTGCTTGCATGGATAAATATGCCTA